TTCTGATTTCATTTTTCCCAGATCCTCTTTTGTTGTCAGTTCAGAGAGTCCAGGTGGTTGAGTATCAGATTGTTCCATCTTGTTTCCCTTTGGGGTTGCTGTAGGTGATCCAGAAGTCTGTTTTTGAGGCTTATTTACATGTCTTCTCATTTCCACGAAGGGGGGGGTGTGCTTCTGGCACCTGCATGCCTCACCTTCTCTGCCCTAGGAGCTTGGGATGGCAGTGGGGGAGCTTCCTTCTGATGATTCAGTGTTTTCAGTGTGACTGGTGATCTCGGGACCGTTTCCACAGACCTGCCTCTCTGCAGCGGGCTGATTCCGTGTTTTCAGCATGACTCTATCTTGGCAATTTTATAATCTAAATGAATTTAAAATTAAAAACCAAATTCCTCGTAAGCATTAATTCAGGAAATTCAGCCTGTGAGTTTCACAGGCCATCTGCTTTATTTTGTAATACAAAGAAATGGAAAATACAAAACAAATTTCTAGGTTTTAAGGGACTAAAGAAAGAACAACTGAAATCTCCAGATTCTTCCTAAAGTGGATCTCTGAATAAGCTTATGTTTTGAAATTTTTCTAGCTTTTGAATTTTCTTTCTCTAAATCTGAGTAGATGTTGTAATGTTTGAAGTGAGAAAAAGGAAATGAACTGAAGGACAATTGCTACTGCATAGGAAAAATAAGCATGACAACTATTCAATTTAACTTCTTTTCTGGCTTGACATAGGTAAACAGATAAACTTTCCTCCTGTGTCTATGCCTTAGAAAGGAGCTGAGTAAAGCATTAAGATTATTTGTTTTTATTGGAACCAAATCAACACAGTGTTGACATCAAACCAATTTCATAACAAGTCCTTTCTCACAATATTTGCTCTAATGGGGTTTTATCTGCACTATAAAGTTACTCATTCCCACAAGTAGATTTCATAATGTCCATTTCTGCAGACATGAAATCGGAGATAAATACTATTTCCAGATACTAAAGACTTACACTATTATATTGCAGATCAATACTACAGCGGAGTTCTTAACAAATCGTGGTGTGATTCATGAGTTCATGGGTCAACAACAGAGTGTAATGAAAGACTATCAAGCAGCGATTGCTCTAGACCCCAAGTACTCGCTGGCTTACTTTAATGCCGGAAATATCTACTTTCACCACAGGCAGTTTTCTCAGGTAATGTGAGTTTTCCTTAACATTTTCTTTTTGACATTAAATGCCTCTTTGTTAAATGTAGTTTCAATGCAATCCTTATACCTCATCCTAATAAATCATTAGTTCCTCTTTCTAAAAAATTCTGTTTATGATATGACATTAAATGGTTATACCAGTACGGGTCTAGTCTCTTTATTATCATCAATCACTAAACTTTTGTCCAATAAACATTCTTTTAGCCTTCCCTGAGTGCCAGCACTATCCTTGCTATATTCATTGTCACCAGCAGGCAGCTTTTTCACCCACTTAGACTTCCAAATCCTCTTTATGATGGGATTGTCCATCTCATCTCAATTTATACCTTTACTAAATTTCAGTCACTAAGCACTTGACTGCGAGTAGGGAGGCTTGGCTATCAGTTCTGATTTTATGTGACCCTTTAATCTCTTCCAGTCTCAGTAGATAATGTCTGCAATAAAAATATTGGGGTATTAGGCTATATTTTGTTTTGAATTTATTTTATTTGAATTGCAATGCATTTACATGACTTAAACTCTTATTACCTTTTAGAGTTTTCTTTTTATCTGTTGTCAGTCTCATTCTGCTTCCCTTCCATTTTTCTTGCTCATCATCTATCTTTCTGAGTTGGTAGCTTAATTTATTTTTTTTGTTTATCCTTCTATTTGTATTAGGATAATTTATTAATGTTATATATTTTTCTAAGTACTTTTCCTGCAGTATCCCATATATTTTTGTCTGTATTTATTTTTTAACTTGAGTAAAAATCATACAGTATAAAATTTTACATCTTAACCATCTTTAAATGACCAGTTCAGTAGTGTTAAACATATTCTGTAATGTTATTTTTTCCTAAAATTTGTATTTTTTCTTTGACTTGAGAATAAATTAATTGGGTATTTGATGGGGTGGAAGTTTTTATTTTTTTATATGTTTTTACTTGTATTTTAAAAGTATTTTACACTATGGTCTGTTTTCTTTAGTTTTTTTTTAAAGTTTTTCTGATAGTTGTGCTCTAATGACTGCTTTTATAAAAATACTCTTAATTCCTTATTCTTTTGCTTCTGTACTATAAACAATAAAATTACCTTATAATGCCCTTTTTCTCATTAACATAGGTACATAAATTAATAGCCCTTATCTTAAAAAAGAAAAGAAAAGAAATCTCACCCTCATAGCCTACTCTGCCTGCATCCTCTACCTCACTACCGTTCTTCATAGAGGCCTTTTCTTAAGCCAGTTGTCTACAGTAGCTCTCTTCCATTTCTGATTCATGCCCCAAGGACTCCACAACTCTTTGATTGAAGCCTATGTTTCTACTGCTTCTCCAGTGCTCTTGCCAAAGTTATCAGCGGTCTCCTCCATCCTCCTCTCACTTGACTGTTCAGCAGTAATGGACACAGGCACTTTTCTCTTTGAAAGCACTTTATTCTCCATATGATGCTATTCTATCCTGTTTTCCTCTAGTGACCTTAGCTAGATCCTCCCTTTTCAGTCTGCTTTTCTGACATCTCCTGTCTGCTTCACTTCTAAATGTTGCTAGCACCCCAGGGCTGGCTCCTGCTTGGTTTCACTCCAAAATTGTTTTTGTGTATTGATCTCGTAACTCTCCAGTCTTGTTAAGATTGTAGGCTTTTCGAGGCAAGGATCATATACTGTTCTCTCTTTCCTTTCTTTACTCAGAAAATCCATTTTAGCATTGGGGATGTAATTAGTGGTAGAGTGCTTGCATAGCATGTGTGTCAAGGACCTGGGTTCAATCTTCAGCAGCATGGGTGGGGGGAAGATCCATTTATTCCTGTAATTTATACTACTTGTCGGCCTCTACCTTTTTTCAGAGCTCCTAACTCATGTGTATTTCCAGTTGATAAGATTATTTTACAAGTACATTAAGTTCAAAACTGATCTGTATATCCTCTACCTGTAGTCCAGTTTTCATTGTATAAATTCTCAACTCAAGATGTCATCTTCCACAAAGCTATCTGAGCAAAAATATTAGAGTCAATCTAACTTTCTATTTCTCTCTTTCTTCTTCTACTTACTCATTTAATCCTGTCGGTTTTTTGTCTTCTTTTTTTCAAATATGTTCCCTCTTTTCTATTTCTGCTACAATTGCCTTAGAGTTACCCCTTATTCTTTTGTGTTTTAGGTCATGTCCTGTAGCAGCTTCTTGACCCCTGTGAAAAGCCTGGCTGACCACCATAGTGAATTAGATGCTGGGCCAGAGTTATTGAAGGTGTAATTCTATAAGGCACAAATGACATTGTTGTTGCTCAAATCTCACTGGACAGCTGGGAAGCTAATGTTTCCTAGTCAGATAAGCCAAGGTCAATTACCTTAAACTTCATTAATCACAGATCATTCTCTGGCTGGGTCCTATCCCTGTTTTTTTTTTTTTTTTTGCACTATTAAGTTAGTTATTGAAATTCAGACAAATAGAATGCCCAAGGCAATTTTCTGTTTTCATAGATGTTTAAGAGCTGCATAAGAGGAGGATCTTTACTTTTTAAACATGTTTATCTTTAATAATTGTGTGAACATCATGCACAAAATTTTTTGTGTAGATCTAAAATGTAGTTTTAACTTTTAAATATTTTATGATATGGATCTATTTTCCTCTTACTGCTGACACATTAGCTGGACAAATATTTCACCTAAAATGTGTTCCATTTTTTGTCTGAAATACTGAATGCTTGGGCTTCACAGTCCACTCTCCCTTGAGAGACAGGTAGGCCTTGAGAACAGCTATTCTGATCTTTGGACAGTTAAAACATGTGTGTGATCTGATTGCTGTTTTCTTTAGTAACTTAATTATTTAAAACCACATTTGGATGGGCAACTTGCATGAACTATGAACTACAAATGACTTTAAAATAATTAGATCTGTTTTTAATTAATTAATTTATTATGGTTATGAGGCCATCAGACCAGAGTTTTTTAAAAAATCCAGGCCTCTAAATGCTTTAACCTCTAATTGGTTGATACTCTTATATTTCAAGTAACCTCATTAAATTTATAGAATTTTTAATTTTGTAAATAATGCACTTTTGAAGATACAATGTAAACTTACATTGTTCAAAGCAGGTACACTATTGGTGTTTTATTGAGTGGTGTTGTATTTATCTTCTTATAGCCAAGGTAGGGATTTGCTCCTACGTAATTAAAGTCATGCTTTTGCGATGTAGAATTGCATAACATCTGTTGGTAATTTATTGGTGAATTAAAATGAAGGCTAAATTACTTTATGAAGAAAGCAATACTTGGAGTCATTCCTTTGCATCCTTTCTGATGACTCTGTGCTGCTTTTCCTTTAGGAATAAATTCTCTTTAAACTCTTCACAAAAGGATGTCAGTCTGTCCCCATCCTAGCACTTACATGTTGTATAGAATTGCTGTTATTCAGGAATGAGGGGTTATGTGATTTTGATCTAATTGACCCTGAAAAGTCAGAGGAAGCAACTTTTACGGAGTATGTTTGAAGGCTATGTTACCTTTCCATGTAAAGACTTGAAAGAAAAATGATACATCAATAGTAATGTTTTGAGTCCTACTACATTCTACATACCATTCTCACACTACTCTAACTCACTTCATCCTTACATCAGCACTGGACAGGTAGTTTGCTACCTTTGTTTTATAGATGAGGAAATTGATATACATAGAGCTTTAGTGACACACCTAAGGTAAAGGTAGGATTTGAACCCAACAGTCTGTCTCCTTGGTCTCAGATGCAGCCACCATGTGATCAGCATTTATATCACCCATGATGGAAGTGAATTAAGGACAGATATTTGAAAAGCAAAGAGAGTAGTAGTTCAGTAAAGAAGACCATGAGGAAATGATCAGTGAGGTAGGAGAAAACCAAATTTTAGGAGGGAAGGAAAGATGACAGTATCCATGCCACGAAACGCCTTGGAAGGAAACAACTGGAAAATGTCCATTAAGCTTGAAGAGTGTTCTGCTTAGCTAGAGTACAGCTCAGGGAATAAGAAGTAGATAAGAATCAAGTTGTTGGAGGTTGGGAAAAAACTGAATGGTAATTGGATAGAGCAAGTTAAATTATAAGAATTGACCTTCCTTTAAAGGTAAACTTTAGAATAGGAGCCCAATTTTCATCCACCAGGGAATTAGATATGGGATTGTCATCTTAAGTCCTAGCAAGGTGTCAGATCAGCATCTTAAGCTCCATGTGGTAAAGGGATCAGTTTTTTTAAAGAGTTTCCAATCATTGTGGATCAGTGTCAATAAATGCAATAAAAATAATTTACTAGAAATGTCACATGCTTAGTTATCACATCATATCAAAGTATTACAGAAATGACTTATTTTTTACTCTTGCTTTAAAAATTATATTAATATATAAAATATTTGCAATACATATTAAATACATTCATCATGGGGAATTGGTACATATACATATTGCACCTTGATCTTTACCTCTTCATGGGCATGTAGCAATTGATTTTTGAACCGTGACTCCAGGCTGCACTTTGTGAACCAAGAAAACATACATGAGGTTAAAAATATAAGCAATGACAGCTTTTATTGGGGTTACATGAATAGATCTGTAAGTTAGGAGAAACCGGTTCAGTAAGAAAACAAGTACATTCCATCAAGTGGAAGGGGAGCTAGATTTTAAAGGTGAAAGGGGGGACAATGGGATGAGGTAAAATAACTTGTTTCGAACAATTTTTGATTGGCCCTGTCAGTTACACAAGGTATTTTGACAAATCTAGGTTAGTTCTTTGGGTCTGTTCCTACATTAAGCTGCATATGATTGGTTGTGAGAGGGCTGTTGGTTTGCAATTATCAGTAGACAACAAGTTTTAAAACAGTCAGCAAATCATCAGAAGTCCCACGATGGGGGACTATTGCAATCTTTGGTCTTGCTGGTACATTCTTTCCAGACAGTATTTTTACCTGGAAATTAAAGATTGAGGAATTTGTCTCTCCCAAGTTCAGTCTCCAAGGCTCACAGAAAAGTTTTGCTGTCTCTTGATCAAACTTAATTTTTATTTTCACACCTTTTGGGAGATGCTCAATTGCAAATATCCTAGAGTCTTTGGTTTCCTCAATATGCTGGTTTTCCCCCTCTCTTCCTCACCAAGTTTCATTGTATAGCTGAGTTTTTAATCCCTTTTCATATAGTTTAGAAGTTCTTTTAATTCATTTATCTGGTTAGCTCTTCCTCTGTTTTTGTATATAAGCGTTACTTGCCTAAATTTTATTTTGTCTTCTTATTTTGTCTTCTTTTCTTTTTTTTTGGTACTGGGGATCGAACTCTGGACCTTGTGCTTGCGAAGCAGGTGATGGCACCACTGAGCTAAATCCCCAGCCCTGGTATTCTTTTCTAATGTACTTTTTACCCTTTTGTTGTTGTCATTCCACACAGTGATATGAGCTTTGAGTGGCAGGCAGTGGGAGCATCTAAGTCCAGCAAGGAGAAGTATTTTATCATTGACATTGTCTAGAATGGTGGACATGTGGTGTTATGTCCTTAAGTCTCCCAAAGACTGATAAGTTAAAGGTTGTTCGCCAGCCTGTGGTGCTACTAGAGATAGTGGAATCTTGAGGAAGTGGCCCAGTAGATGGAACTTAGGTCCCTGGGGTGCAGCCTTGAAGAGGGTACTGAGGCTGCACCCACTTCCTGTCTCTCTTTGCTTCCTGACTGCCATGAAGTGAGCAGCCTCTCTTGGCATTACTCCCACCCTGGTGACTTGTGCCACCACAGGTCCAAAACAACAGGGCCACTTTACCATCAGCTAAAACTTCTGAAATTGTGAGCCAGAATAAATCATTTCTCTGTTTTAGTTGATTATGTCAGGTATTTTGTCACAATGACAGAAAGCTAACATTCATAATGCTTCCACTGCTCCCTTGGTAGGCCACTGGCCTTAATTTTAAGTGAAGAATGAATGTACTTTGAATTTTTGGATAGCTTCTAATTAAAATACATTGAAAATATTATTCTTATATTTTATAGGCCAGCGACTACTACTCAAAGTCTTTAAAATTTGATCCAGAAAATGAATATGTTCTCATGAATCGAGCTATTACAAATACAATATTAAATAAATATGAAGAAGCAAAAGAAGATTTTGCATATGTAATTGAACGCTGTCCCTTTTGGGCTGCAGTATATTTTAACAGAGCACATTTATACTGCTGCTTAAAGCAATATGACCTTGCTGAGGAAGACCTTAGTAGAGGTATATTTTTTAGAAATTATTTTGATGAGATTAAAGTGGTTGATATGTTTGTTTTTAGACTATAAAAGAAGATTATCAGGTGTATTTGTCTTAGTAAATTTATACAAAATCAAGGTGTTTAGATAGCATATCTGAAATGTAATCAAAATAGAGTCCTTTATGTAATATCTTAACCTAAAGCTTTGGTAAGCAGATATAGAGAATTATTAGGAAACTATATATAAGCAATGCCAACCTTTCAAAGAAAGCCATTGCATTATTGTTTTAAAATTAATTTTATTGGTACAATTTAAAAAATGATCACAGTCATCAAAGGGAATTTCTACCTGTACATGATATATCTTGATTCCCCTTTTTCTCCTAGTCACCTCTCCTCCCTTCAATCTCCCCTCCCCTCCTTTTTTACAAAAGCTTTGTTTCCATTTTTCCTTCTTTTCTTGTGTTTTTCATTTCCCCTCCTTCTTTTCACCCTCCCATCTCCCAGTTTACCTTTCCTTACCTTTTCCTATTTCCTATTTTCTATTATACATTTGGTTCCTATTTACCCTTTCAGTTTCTCACACCAGAAAGACAATGTGATATTTACACACATGTGTTCTATTTATTTCACTTAAGAGAATGGCCTCAATGTGCATCCATTTAGCTATAAATGTCTCTAGTTTCTCATTCTTTATGGCTCAGTAGTACTCTATTTTTAAAAAGCCGAAAGATTTATATGTTCTGAAGAGAAACCAGAGTATGGTACTTCATTTTATAAAAAAACCCACATCTCTTTATCCAATCGCCAGTTGATGGGCATTTGGTTTATTTCCAAACTGTGTCATTATAAACATGGGTGCACATGTATTGTTGGAGTATGTTTCTTTTAATTCTTTTGGGAAGATACCCAGAAGGGGAATAGCTGGGTCAAATGGGACCTATAATCCTAGCTTTCTGAGGAATCTCCACACTGATTTTCACAGTGGTTGCACCAGTCTCCACTCCTACCAACAGTGGAGCAGGGTTCCTTTGTCCCCTCAGCCTCACCAGCATTTGTTATTGGTTAATTTCTTAACATCAGCCATTCTTTCTGGAGTGAGGTGGAATTTCAGCATTGTTTTAATTTGCATCTCTCAGATGACCAATGTTGAACTTTTTGTCGTACATTTACTTGCCATTTGTACTTCATCTGAGAAGTGTGTATTCATTTCAGATGTCCATTTTTCAATTGGGTCTTTAAATTTGGGGGGTCTGATTTTTTAAAAATTCTTTGTATGTTCTAGATATTAATCTTTTGTTTGAAGGAATGAAAGCAGTCCTAAGAGAGAAATTTATAGCAGTGAACTCTCACATCAGGAAAATGAGCAAACTCAAATAAACAACCTAATGATGAACCTCAGAGCTCTGGAAAAAGAAGAACAAGTCAAGCCCAAATCTCAAATGAGAGAGGAAGTTACAAAGATTAGAGCAGAAATTAATGCAATTGAGACTAAGAAAACAAAGAATCAATGAATCGAAGAGTTGGTTGTTTGAAAGATTAAATAAAATTGATAAATCTTTACCCAAACTTATCAAAAAAAAAAAAAGGAAAGAAAAGACTCAAATTCATACAATTAGGAATGAAAAGGGTGAAATCACAATGGATCCTGTGGAAATCTAGAAGATCATCAATACCTACTTCGAGAACCTGTACTCTAATAAGATGGAGAATACAGAAGAAATAAACAGATTCCTAGATACATATGAATTACCAAAGCTGAATTGAGAAGATATAAAAATTCTAAATAACCCAATATTAGTCAGTGAAATTGAAAATGTATTAAAAACTTAACCAACAAAGAAAAATCCCAGGTCCTGGTGGCTTCACTGCTGAATTCTACAAGAAATTTAGAGTAGATCTACTGGCAGTTCTCTTCAAACTCTTTAGTGAAATAGAAAAGGAAGCAGTACTCCCCAAATCATTTCTGGAAGTATTACCCTGATGCCATTGTATTGTGGTTTCCCAAATTAACTGTCTTAGGAAGAGTCAACATTTTAAATCTAACTGAATTTTTGCAGTTGAAAAAAAATGTTTTTAAATCAGTTCTTATAAAATTTTTATATTTAAAAATAAAACTATTTGGAGTATTTGCATAAAGATGTCTTTAAATCTGTTTCTTTTGCAGCACTATCTTTGAAGCCTAATGATGTGCTGGTGTGTAACCTCAGAGCAGAAGTTCGTGGTAAAATGGGTCTGATTGAAGAAGCTATGGCTGACTACAATCAAGCACTTGATCTTGAAGAATATGCCTCAGTTACCTGAGTTCCTAGACTGTACTGTGATTTCTACTGTAGCTTACATTTAAATGGCTATTCTTCCTGAAACTGAAATATATTTGTTCAGAAGTTTCCACTACCTTATGTGTTTTCTTCATTATGCTCAGTCTTCTTCTTCTTTTTATTTTTTTAGTACCGGGGATTGAACTCGGGTCCTTGTGCTTGTGCAGCAGGCGATGAAACCACTGAGCTAAATCCCTGGCCCCAACGCTCAGTCTTCTTATATAACCCTTTAATGCATTTTAACAAAATGTTTGTTATATATTAAGTATAAAACTTTTAGGTTTTTTTTCGTATTTGGAATATCTCAATATTGAATATCTTCATAAAATGAAGAATTTAAATGGGAATGCTTCTCAAGGAATATGAATGCTTAAAATATTTTCTCTAAAGTAAAATAATTTCCTTTGAAGTAATATGATTGTAGAGAAAGTGTTATCAACCTTTTCATGAACACATACTAAGAATGTATTCAGCAGTATCCAGATAAAAGATAAATATAAGATGATAACTATAAAAATATTAAAATCAAGCACATTCCTCTCTTCTCCTTTAAATAGTGTATATACTAGCCTGTATTCTTTCTGATACATTTTTCCAGCAGATAAACATGTCTCTCTTTTTCATGTTCCTTTCTTTCTAGGATAGCACCTATTAAGATTTCAGGCCTCCAGTTTCTCTGAGACAATGCCTTCTTCCCTTTTAGTTCTGACCTCAAAGATGCATAAATAAATGCAGATTGCATAAGTATGCAAGAAAATCTGTCTACACTTGTGGTTGGTGCTTCATAGTAGGAGATGAATTTAAAAATTAAAACAGCTAAAAATTCTTTATAGAATGTCTCTAAGGAATCCCTGAATCAACCAAAGAACTGCTTTCTTTTAACTCACTGATGATAAGAAGACTTCTGGGCTTTTATTTCATCCAGATTTGCTTCACTTGATTTACGTTCCTTCTTGGTATATTTTCCCCCAGTACCTACCCAGCTCCTCAGAGAGAGATCAAGTGTTTTGGAAAGAATGAAACTGAAAGTTGATTTTCAACTGAAAGTTGATTTTAGTTTGTAAGCTACTGTGCAGATGTTTCACAATATTTTGGGATAATTTTCCTGGTGAGATACGTGGGTTCAGGAAGCGGTGAGGAATGGTTCATCCCTAGTGAGTCAGTCATATCACCTGGTGAATCAAACCCATGTAATATGTTGTTTCGCATCCTCTATCACTGATCTCCAGGCCCCCTTATCCCTCCCTTTGTCACAGATTCCATTCAGACTGACTTATGCACCCATAGACAGCACCTCTCCTCCTGCTGTGACGCACATTTCACTTGTCTCCCTGGTGGACCTGAGCTCCTCTGTCAGTGCTCAGGGGATGGGTGTGTGGAGTTTCTTTGGTGCCTGTCCCTGAGATCTGAGTCTTTATCATATAAACGTTTGATGATGAGAAAAAGGGACAGGGAGATAAATTTGTCTCCCATGCATCTCTTGTTGATATACATTGATTCCTGAAGAATAATAGTTCTGGAGATTGAGCAGTGGGTCGCACTTACTGGTGACCAGCTGCAAAGCACACTGCATGTTAGTGCTTTTGTTTTTCCTGCCTCGCTTCCTTTTCTTGCCACTTTTGCTTCTTTGTGATTAAACTTAATAAAGTAGTGGCTCAAAAGCTTTTGCCTCAGATTCTACTTTCTAGGGGAATCCAGACTAAGCCAACTAGTAATTTAATATTCCCGCCCCCTAACTGCACACTAGTACTTTCCACATAAGGTGGGATGTGATAACCACTGGGAAATGATACAAACTAAAAGCCACAAACACATAGTGGAGCCAATCATTTTTCACTTGTCAAAATGTTGTATGTCCCCTTGCCCATATTCCTGCATATTCAGTTTCTGCATTCCCTGCCAACATCCTACTGCAGACACCTATGGTGTTCCTTCAGAGGCGTTCATCTCAGTCCTCATAGAGGCCAGGTCAGAACTGCAGAGGACTTAATGATAGTGGAGAACCTTCAGCCAATGGCAGAGGCGAGATGAGGAGAAACTCTTTAACTCCTTGCCTGTTGAGTGGTAACTTCCCTGACTTCCCCAGTGTTCCAGATGCCCACTGTATACATTCCTCCAGAATACATATTTTATTGCTTTCTTCCCTTTCTTGCCCCTCCTCACCTTCTTCCTTTTTGGTTGGCAAAAGCATGATAGGATCCCCTTTAAAGTAAAACAGTATCTCCAAAGAAGAGGCATTAGAGTTGGATTCTGAGCAGGGTGATGTCTGTAGGCAGAGTTGCTGAACAGTAAGGTCTTCTGCAGAGATCATGCATCTGGACAGACATACAGAAGCAGGAAAGTGGAAAAGCAACATTTGAGAAGTAGATGGAGCAGAGAATTTCTGTGAGAACATGTTGGGAGAAAAACATGGCTAAGCAGTCAGAGTCATTTGTGGAGGACCCTTACTACTAGATAAACGAATTAAAGTTCAAAGCAAGGAGTCAAAACTGAACTGTACGTGTGAGGGAAAGAGAATGGCAGAAGGACAGAGAGAGGAGGTTTCTCTTTGTTCTCTTTGTTTCCCTCCATCCACATATTAAGGATCCAGGGTTATTTTAGCATCATCAATAAAAATTTGACCTTGGAAAATTGATCAGATTGTCTCTGTTTTGTATGGACCCCTTTCTGATGGTTATCCCAAACATATGAGGGACAAGACAGCAGGATGAAGGCAGGATGAAGGGAGGATGGAGAATAAGGGAGAAAGTGACATTACTGGGTCATTGGAGTTAAGTCTGGCACAAATGCCACTGAGAGAAGAGGGAAGAAATATCTAGATTCCCTCTTTTCTGATTAGCTTTATGTAGTATTGATCTCTTCAGCCACTGGACTGAGCCTACATACTTGTCACAACTGCTAGGATTTATGGTTGGGTTTTAATTTTTTACAATATTTGTATGATATAAGCACACACACACAGAGCTCTCACTGGTGATTGTCTCCTCAAGGTAAAATTGGAGAGGTAAAAGAAGTGGGAGGTTTTTTTTGCTTTGTTTTACTTTTTTTTTCTTTTTTCTTTCTTTCTTTTCTTACTTAATAAGAAAAAAAGGGTGACTTTTACATTCAATTTTATGCATTTCTGTTATTTATAAGGGTTTTTGTTAGTGGTGTTTTTCCCCAGTACAATATAAGCTCTATGAAAATAGGTGCTTTGTCTTTTTTGTTTCATGTTATATCTCAATACTTGCAGAGCCCGGCAATTATTAGGTGTTCCTGGAATATCTGGTAAATACAAACAAATTATAAACATTATTGTCTAGTTACTGTTTGCTTGTTACATGTCCTTTAGACTTCTTGCATGTCTTCCAAAAAATGAAAACTGAAAAGCTAAAGATTTCATTTATCAGATGTTTTGGCAGCCAGCAGTCAGAGTTGCTGGTGTGATTTAGACTCTGCCAATTTGATGCAGTCCCTCAAAGCTCAGTCAAAGTATTGTCATGTGGGTCACCCTTTTGCTGGTGTTAAAATGGTATGTTCTGCATAGCATGAATGTTTTCAGATTCAGCAAATAAAAATACAAGACTACTTCTCAAATCTAAGTCTCAGATGGACAATGAAAAATTCAAAACTTCAGTTAAATAGAGGTCCCTCTCTTCAATTTATTTTTTTGTAAAAATGTATCCCAACTATTGTATGGGATGTACTTATATTGAAAATCATTTTGAACTTTAATAATTTCTGAAAAACCATTTTGGAAATGAAATGGTGGTGATCTGAAATTCAAGTGCCGATAAATATCTTGTGGTTTTGCCTGGTAATTCTACTTTGAAGCCAACCATCACAACCATCCCTTCTCATCATGCCCACAGATTGCAGATTTTCTTCAGCCAACAGATGCTGGGCTCATTTCTTGGTCTCTTTCATTCTTATCAAAGTTTCTGTTTACAGAGAAAAATATTAAGTATAGAAATATGAAGTATGGGAATAAATAATAGAGCTCCCCTAATATTATAATGATGTTACCCGAACTTTGTTCCATTTTTTTTTCTGGGGCTGGCAATTGAACCCAAATCCTTTACACTCAGCTGCATCCCCATCCCTATTAATATTTTTAGTTTTGAGAGTGTCTTGCTAAATTGTTAAATTGTTCAGACTGGACTTGAACTTGTGATCCTCCTGCCTCAGCCTCCCAGAGTGCTGAGATTATAGGTGTGTGCCACCATGGCCAGTTCTTTGTTCCATTCTTATTTATCACATAAATTTCTTTAGACTGCCATTCTGGTATTAAATTGATTTATTTTAAGAGAAGGAGTTTTAAAACATAATTACATAGCTATTAAAAATGTGCCCTTGTCATACTCAACATCAGTTCTTTTTAAACCAGATTTATTCATCTTACATTTTGGGAAGCATTGTACTTTACAGTATTATTGCTTTATAAGCATAGCTAGAAAGCAAACATGTCTAAGGGGGAGGGAAAATTGCTTAATGCCTGCTGAGATGGATGAGAGAGAATGAACAAGATACATAAGTCGATTAGTTGCCTGGACAGGTAGGCCCAAATCACATGCCATTATCTTGTGCTTTGAACACCCCAGTCTACATTCTTAAAATGTTGAAATAATAAGATCTTACTCCCAGAGATTTTTCAATATCATAAAAATGTATTCTCAGTCAATGTCTTGTGGAGTTCCAAAGATAACAGGAACTATGACTATCCATTTTGAGATCCCAGACAATGTGCAACTTCTCTCTCAACATTAATCTTTGCCTGGCTGATTTATCCTCAGGAAGGAATTTCTTCCCCTATTTGGGAGGGGGCTCAGATCTTTCTGTTACACATTTCCATGGCATTATTACCTGCTCTTTTGGAATGCCCTCATATGTGTATCCTTGTTTAAAGGCCATCTTCCTCACTAGATTGGAAATGCTATGAGGGCAAAGATTATGCCTGACTGTTCACCAGTGTATCATCAATGCTTATTATAGTTTCTGACACATAGCAGGTACTTAATAAATATTTAATGTATTTACTTCAATGAAAATCAAGTCTGAACACTCACACAGGACATCGTGATCCAACACACTAGAGATGTATGTTTTACCATTTATTTC